AGAGAGAGAGAGAGAGAGAGAGAGAGAGAGAGAGAGAGAGAGAGAGAACTAGGTGGGTGGATGGATGGATAAAGATTGATGGATAGGGAGGAAGGGAGGGAGGGAGAGAGTGGGAAGGAGGGAGAGAGGGAGAGGTGATAGAATGTATGTGTAGCATTTCAGCGTACCTATCAATGTCTGAGAAACATTTATTTTTGTCTTACAAGTGATCTGTGGGAATCCACTTCCATTACAGGTGGGCTGCTCAGAGGAAATTGACAACGTGCAATGCTGGAAATTTAAAACTTGCAATGTTTCATCACGTGCCTAAAAAACATACTCAAAAAAGCCTTACCCTGTTAAAAACTGGTAGCATCATGTAAAGCTTCTCTTCCTGTTCCTTTTGAGTCATATGCCGAGGGGGGTGACACAATTCTGTAAACAGCCTGCGTAGATGCATTAATCCTAGAGCGTTATCTTGAGGGCTGCATTCCTCTTGCCGAGGTCGACCCATTATTCTTTTTACCATATTCATCTTTGCTTCTTTCTGAAAGATCCCTTTGATCCTATTCAGGAAAAAACAGGAATAAATTAAAAATAATGTTTTTTTAAAAAATATAAACTCAACCCCTCCATTTGATTATACACATCACAAGGAGCACTTAGAAACCTATTGTAGTAGAGATGGAACATAGCAATTATTATGACTGATCACGGAGTACGTGCTCTAAACTACCGTGTTTCTCACAAAATAAGGCTGGGCCTTATTTTTTTTTGACCCCGGAAAAAATGGCTAGGCCATCTTTTCAGGGGTGACTTAATTCCCCCCCCTTGCATCCTCGGGTGGGCGGGCAGTGACAGCTTGGATGTTGACTTCGGCGTTGGTGGGGCACTTCGTATCGGGAGACCTTCCGCCACCGTTGCTTTCCCTTCTCCCTCGCTGCTGCGGCATTTAGAGCAACGCTGTGGCGTTTGGCACAGCCACGTGCGGCCAGCCAGGGCTCCTCCCTGCAACCAGAGCCTGGTGGAGACACTTGGCTTCAGGCGCTCCTGTCACCGCCTTCCCTTTGCCTTCGAAGGCAAAGCCAATTCTTTTAAAAACGACACCCTACTACCGGTATGACAAAGCCTCCCCTGCCCAAGAGGGCAGCCCAACCCCACGTGGAGAGGCAAATCTCTCGGGGCCGCAGCGCAGGATCGGCCCACCCTGGGTGAAGCACCCAGCCGCCATCCCTGCCTGGCACCAGGCAGAGCGCGAAGAGCTTCGCCTGGGGCGCCCAGCACAGCTGACAGGTGGGCCCTCCTACCCGGCGGCGGAGCTCTCACCAAGGCAGCGAGTGCCTCCCCGCTGGGCCCTCCGCTCATCCCGCCAGAGCCGTGCGGGCTGGGCAGAGCCAGGAAAGCAAGCCGCGGGTGCACGCCCGCCTGCCAAGCAAAAGAGCTGGGCTGACCTGAGCTTGGCTTCCTTCCCAAGTCCCTCCAGCACGAACCTGAAGGGGCCACCGGGAGAGGCTGCCCGAGGCAGTGATAGCACCCACCCGTCCGCAGACAGGGAGGTGAGGTAATGGCAGCGCTGCTTCCCTGGCCGGCAGAGAGAGCCGGAAGCCGCCCGTCCTTTCTACCCCTCGCCCAGCCCGTCCCCGTCCCCAAGCATCTCCAAATGCGCCAGCAGCTCCAAATGCTGCAACAGAACGGGCATCAGGCAGAGGTGCTGACTCGGCGGGGCTCAGATCGGAGGAGTACGCGGCACAGGCCGTCGCCTTGCCTCCCTGTCCACGGATGGGTGGGCACTATCACTGCCTCGGGCGGCCTCTCCCAGTGGCCCCTTCGGGTTCAGGCTGGAGGGACTTGGGAAGGAAGCCAAGCTTGGGTCAGCCCGGCTCTTTCGCTTGGCAGGCGGGCGCACACTCGTGGCTTGCTTTCCCAGCTCTGCCCAACCCGCACGGCTCTGGCACGGTCCTGACGGAATGAACAGAGGTGGGCACCCCAGGCGAAGCTCTTCGCGCTCTGCCCGGCGCCAGGCAGGGATGGCGACTGGGTGCTTCTCCCGGGGTGGGCCGATCCTGCGCTGCAGCCCCAGGAGATTCGCCTCTCCACGTGGGGTTGGGCTGCCCTCTCGGGCAGGGGAGGCTTTGTCATACCGGTAGTAGGGTGTCATTTTTAAAAGAATTGGCTTTGCCTTCGAAGGCGAAGGGAAGGCGGCGACAGGAGCGCCTGAAGCCGAGTGTCTCTACCAGGCTCTGGTTGCAGGGAGGAGCCCTGGCTGGCCACACGTGGCTGCACCAAACGCCATGGCATTGCTCTAAACGCTGTGGCAGCAAGGGAGAAGGGAAAGCAATGGTGGCGGAAGGTCTCCCGATACTAAGTGCCCCACCAACGCCAAAGTCAGCGCAGGCAACACCATATCCGGGTGTGCAACAAAAGTACTTCCTAACGGCAAGCCCCCCCTGCCATTCCCCCCCCATTTCGCATGTTTAATATAGGCCTTAATTTGGGGGGAAGGGCTTAATTTGATTTTATGCCAATAAAACATGCTGGGCCTTCCTATTGGTGGAGGCCGTATTGTTGGAGAAACAGGGTAGCTGAAGTTTTGAACAGTCTTTAAGGGCAGCCCCATATACAGCAAGTGACACTGTTGCTAAAGGTGACAATGGAATGAGCAATTAGTGAATACTGTGTGCATTCTGTTGCAAGTAAGACCTCAACTAAACACCAACCAAAAAGCCAACACCAACCAAAGCTGTCCAAACGTTTTCCAGGCCACAGTCTCAATCTATTCCCAAAGGAGCTATGAGTCCAAGACTCCTGAATTGGAGATGTTCTGAAATGTGGAACAAACCCTGGAAAGAGATGGGGCCATTTGCCAAAGCGACACTTTTGCCCATATGAGGGGGAAGCCAAGCAAGAGAGACCTAAAACAATTCCTTGCTACAATAATCAAGTGTAAGTTGAATGAGTAAACCCTTTTGACAGTTTTTTCAGGATCCTGTTTCAATACTCTACTAACAATAATGGTATTGCCTGAAGTGGATCTTTTTACCTCAATTTAGCTCCAACAAACAGCTGGACAGTCAGCCTGTTCTTTCTAGGAAAGCAGAATTCTGCGAAGAATCAAAGGTGACTTCTGAATCAACAATCAGTCTTATTGGGGTTGAGTGACAACCTTTTCCCCCAATCCAATTCTGAGAGCGTCTAGACCTGCAGTCGGCTACCAGTGGGCCACGGCCCACTGGTGGGCCGTGAGAAAATTTTGGTGGGCTGCAGAGAAATCTCATCCCCAGAGCATACACACCCCCAAAGCAATTAATCCAGGCTGCGCAGAAACACAAGGCTGCCTCCCCGCCTACTCACTCCTTACCCAGCAAACTTGCCTGCTAATTGCCATTTTCCCTTTTTCTGACCCTGTTCTGCTGTGCTGGGAGATTTAGATTAGCTAGGAAGCAGGAAATGGTTGGATTCAATATTCAATGCAGACTCACGGCAAGCAAATTTGAGAGACTGAGCTAGCTGATGGCAGATAGATAGATCACTGAATGATTTTGTGAGCAACTCAATCTGCCTGCCTGCTTTGCCTGATTTTGGGTAAAAATTGCTCTTTTTTAATAAAAAAAATTCAATATTTACATACATGGTGTGTTGTGAGTTAATTTTGTGAGTTTGCTTGCTAGCAAATTTTATGAGTTTGCTTGCAAGCAAATTTTATGGGACAGACTCAGGCAGCAGATTGCAGAAAGGTAGCTCTCTGAATGAATCTGTGATTCTGTGAGCAACTCAATCTACCTGCCTGCTTTGCCTGATTTGGGGTAAAAGTTGCTCTGTTTTTTAATAAAAAATTCAATATTTATATAAATATTCATAATATTTACACACAAGCCATGCCTAGCCAGTCACATGACCACCAAGACACACCCACAAATTAGGCCATGCCCACAGAACTGGTTAGTGGTCCCTGGGGTTTAAAATTATGAGCTTGGTGGTCCCTGAGGTCCTCAATTTTTGCTCGCAATGGCCTCCTGCATCTCTCCGCAAATAAAAACAGAAACTCAGGAGGCTGCGTGTGGCCCTCACAAGCTCCGTTTTTGGCCGTGACGGCCTCCTTCAGCCCTCTTCCAGCGAAAATGGAACTCGGGAGGGGGGCTCCATTTTCACGGAGACCGTTTTTGCTGGCAGAGCACACGGGCCACAGGCGCCTCCGACATGAGTGACCATGCCCAACCTGTCCATGCTGGTCAAGATGGCCATACTCATCCTGGCCACACCCACCCTAGCCTTGAGGTCAAACACAACCCTGATGCGGCCCTCAATGAAATCGAGTTTGACACCCCTTCTCTAGACTCTGGGTCATGGCTTCCACTCCATCTCCCAACAGGACTGGAAAAGAAATGTATAACTAGGCATTATCTGCATATTACTGATTCCTCATCCTGAATAGTAGGTCTATTCTCCCAGTGGTTTCATACAGATGTTAAATGCAATAGGTGTCAGGAACAAAAGCTCAGGTCTGCAAGTGAAGGTACAATTAAACTCATGCATATAAATTTGCAATTCTTAATAACTTGCTTATACAAAACAAAAATACAAAAGCTTTCCTTCTATGCAGAAGTGAAAGTGTGTATATCATCAGCATATAAAAGCATAAATATTGGCCATATTTAGTTAACAATGAGCAATGACAATGCCTCTTTGGAGATGGGATGGCCCCAAATTTTGAGAAAGAGAGAAGTAAAAAAATCCAGCTCTTCTCTTTGAACAGGAATTTGTAATAGTTTGGAACGTACTTAACTGCAGCACACAACCTATTTTTAAGTGAAGTGAGCAGACAGTTAAAATATCAAGGCTACACATGACCTGGACACAGATTCTTTATTTAAATAAAAGCGCCAAAGTTCCAAAGAGGATTGTTTTAATCTCCAGTATAGCTTGACCCTAAAGCAGAGGTGTCAAACTCGATTTCATTGAGGGCCGCATCAAGGTTGTGGTTGACCTTTTTAAGTGAAACATTTTTAAGTGAGATTTGCCCCTTTTTATAATCTTTATTGCCACAGTTGTTAAGTGAAGCCATAGTAAGTGAATCACTGCAGCTGACAAGTTAGTAACCCAATTGTTAAGTGAATCTGTCTTCCCCAATCACATAACCTAGGGCTGTGATGGTGAACCTATGGCATGCGTGCCAGAAATGTCACACAGAGCCATCTGCCAGCACATGAGCCATCGCCCCAGCTCAGTTCCACTGCGCATGCGCGCACGCATCCCACCAGACAGCTGATTTTCGGGTATCTGCCGTGCATGCGTGGGGGGCGAGGCGCTTGTGGGAGATGTACGCGCATGCGCAAAGGGGGCGAGAGCACGGGAGGGTCGCACACGTATGCACAGAAAGCGGGAGGAGCATGGGGAGCACGCACATGTGCAGGGGGTTGGGGGGAGCACGGGAGGGTTGCATGCGCAGGGGGAGCGCAGGGGGTCATGTGTGCATTGCATTATGCGTGCAGGCGTACGTGTGCACTTTCAGCACACGACGACAAAAAGATTAGCCATCACTGACCTAGGGACACAGCAATGGTCATAA